ACTAAAGGCATAAAATCCTTAAACGGAAGATAAAAACAACATAATTCAATCATTTTTAAAGCAAAAAATGTACAATTTACAAACATATAACAGTAAAGAAACTGAGATCACTGAGCCGGGTAAGAGTGGATATATTTATAAATATATTTATATACGTTTGGTGCGGCCGATTGAAACCAAAATACGAGGTGAACATACATCTACATGTTGCAGTAGTCTTATATACAAAATTTCAACGTTCTGAGGCTACTCGTTTTTGAGTTACGCGTGATACGTACGTACATACGTTCGTACAGACGCCACGAAAAATTCTCTTCAGAATTCATTTTAAAGCATTTTTTTTTTTAGTTTTTTTTTTTTTAGTTTTTTTGGAGGAAAAGAGTCTTTTATTCTTTCCTTACGTACAGATATCACGCAAAAACATCGTTAAATTGCATTCGAAAGCGGTGAAAATGGATATTTTCGTTGAAATATGCTGCCTGAAGCTTTTCGCGATTACAATACTTCCTTTTTACTTCGTACAAGGAAGTAAAAACTGTATTTTTATTGTCATTCTTGTGAACAAACTACACGTACTTTACTAGTAGCATTATTTAACCTTGTTTTTTTCGACAAGTACCTTATTATCAGTTTGAGACGAATTACTCATTGCAGTCAAAACAAACGGGATGGATCATGTCGGTTATTTTACACTTTAACGGAGTGTAGATCGTTATTCCTGCCGACCAGTCGCTATATTGGTTAGCGCTGCTAACTGCCGTGCTGAAGGGTCCGAGCTCGAATCCAGGAGAAAGCATGGATGTTTGTAGATGTATTGTGTCCGTACGGCATGGGGAACTCTAGATATGCGGCAAGACAAAGTCCTCTCGAGAGGTTGGTGATAAGCAATTTTTTTCTGAACTTGAACTAGTAAACGGTTAATAGTCAACAAGCGATAATAAATTAATATTGCCTTGTTTAGAGCATAACTGTAAAGGCGATTAAATGTTTGAAAAAAAGAAACATAAAGTATTGTAGAGTCATTAGGCAATTTGGAAGCAGGAAAGATGAAAAATGAGCAACCGCCTTCGCCGGGAATCGAACCGCGGACCTGTGGAATATGCGCCCAGCGTGCTGACCACTACACCACGAAGGCACGCCGAGAAGGCGGGGATATACCCTATAGTATCAATTTTGACCTTGCTGGGATTCGATCTTTCAATTGCGAAATGGCGATGAAAACTATTTACACAAAGAAAGTGTGTGTGGCTTAACACGATAATGAATCCTTTATAAATTGATTGTGTGTTTTAAAATGTTATGTTGATTAATTTGTGCTAAAAGTATTCTAATCACTTAACTATGTTTGCATTACTAAAAAGTGTATTTACAAAATCATCTATTGATTAGTGAAATACTATTTTAATACTCAATTTTACTAATTATCAGTCGTAATTGCATCGGGGACCATTCGCAAATTATTTAATATTATTTTACTTCATTTTATTCCATAATTCGATACCAAATGATACGATAACAGTTATTTTCATTTGTCTCGTCCCCTTTAAGGTCGAACATTGTAGAAAAAAAATTGTCTCTTAATATCTTTCACATAAAAATTATTCTTCTACTGCTAAACATTTAAACAGTATTAAAATAGTTAGTATTAATACCATTTAAAGTTTCAATTAAAGCTTCAATAATGAGATAAGATTAGCATTAAATGTTATGAATTGCGAAGAAAAAAATAGAGGTAACATGTTCCACTAGGCACGCTTCTATTAGAATGGTGTCGATTTTCAGAAGCCGCATTTATTCCAACCCACAAACGCCGACGCGTTCTATTCTCATCGGTCCGGAGTTTATTTACATTTTTCACTAAATGTGGCCCAGTATCTGGTTACTCTATGCATTCAGCATTTCAAGTAGGGAAACTTGTACTACGTATACTCTTTCTGATGTTTCAGAGTGATGCTCATTAATATATATTTATTGGAATACACTGACTACCAATAAGTATTTGGACACCTGTGATAGAAAAGAAAAACTAAATTCAAAATCAGTAGTTGGTAGAGCCTCCACGAGAGGTATTTACAGCGTGGACCCTCCGGGGCATACTTTCCAAAAATCTTTGTATGACAGCTAGTGGTATTTTCTTCCACTCGGCTTGGAGAAGACATAGAAGTTCCTTCACTGATTTTGCACAGGTAGTGCATCCCTGAATTCGGCGATGCAACTCGTCCCAGAGGTTCTCGATAGGGTTCAGGTCTGGTCTCTGGGCAGGCCAGTCAATTCGATGAACTCCATTGGCACCATACCAAGCCTTTGTTAACGTCGAAGCATGACAACTGGCATTGTCGTCCTGAAAGTAACAGGGGTCCAACCCGTAAAACTGCCACAACGTAGGAAGTAAATTGTCATCCAAAATAGTGCAGTAGGCATCGGAGTGGAGCTTACCATGAATGGGGACCAAGGGTCTCAGCCCATACCAGGAGAAACACCCCCAGACCATAATTCCACCTTCGCCGAACTTGACTGTTGGCACAATGCACTCTGGCAGAAGACGTTCTCCAGGTAAACGCCAGACCCAGACCCTGCCATCCGAACGGTAAAGGGTGAACCTTGATTCGTCACTCCAAAGAACCCGTTTCCACTGATCTACGGTCCAGTTTCGATGTGCTTTGCTCCACATTAACCGAGCAGCGCGATTAGACTTTGTGATCAAAGGCAGATTTGCTTCTTTACGGATGGTATTCATTGAAACAATACTCAAGGATGCCTGTTGAAACTCCTCGCGGATGAGGGCCATCGTTTGGGGGCGGTTCTTCCGAATTGCTCTGGACAGCAGTCGTCGGTCTCTATCTTCCAATTTCGTTGGTCTGCCGACTCGGGGCACATTCCGACAATCACCCCTCACCTTCCACTTCTTAATCACATAGGCTACTGTCGACATTGGGTATTTCAGATCGCTAGATATGTCCCTTAAGGATCGGCCACATTTGTAATCCCCGATAATTATACCTTTCTCGAATCAGAGAGCTCCGAACTGCGAGGCATCTTGCATGAGACTAAAGTCGATGCTGTTTCCTACACGATATATACCGGCGAAGTCTGTGGCGTACCTTGGGACGACAGATATCGTCATTTGCATAGGTGCCCAAATACTTATTGGTAGTCAGTGTAATATCTACATTGTGCACAATTTGTAAATACAGTAAACACCCCTTAATACCTTAATACGAACTCGCTTAAGGCGAACATCGGTTAATGTTAACAAAATTTAAGTTCCGGCAGCGATGTATATGGTCTTAAGGAGATTTTACCGGTTAACACGAAATTCGGTTAACACGAATTACGAACCATTTTTTAGTCCATTGCGTCGTTGAATTTTGCCATTTAACACGAACTTTCAAAATTCTTCATATTTTTTTTTCCTGCTGTTTCTGCTTGAGCAGCGCTTAAAAATGTTCTGTCCTGTTTAATTGAAAATCCGTTTTGACACTGGGCCGGAGTAAAACCCATAAAATACATGACCTTAAGTTTAACCAAAGTGAAGATTCACTTTCCTGTCCCTTATGTAATAGTCGTTTTCAATCTTTTGGATCAAGGCGAAGGTCTGATCACAAAGTTTTCTTTGGTCCCACTTGGCAAGGCCCACCAGCGACCGAGCGGTAAAGTCGCTGAACACTGGTATTTCGGTCCGAGGTTCGAATCCCGCGGAACGGGCTGGCTGCATGAGCGTTTTCGTGGCCAGTTTCCCTTAAAGTTCTCCACGAAGGCATCCCTCCCCTTAGGCAGATAGCCCTAGTGTGATTTGTCATAATTAAATGCAACACACTACCACCATCCACTTGGCAAAAAAGACACTGAAGATGCATAACCGGAATTAATTCACTATTCCGTTAAGTTTCGAATGTAAACAAATGTGACTGCTATGTTAAAACAAATTAGGCTTAGTCGCACTTAAACAACCTTTAAATTGTTGATAATTTTACAACTATTGCATTCAGGTTAATTAGAGCCATAAACACCTTAACCGGAAGATAAGAATAACATAATTCAATCATTTTTAAAGCAAAAAATGCACAATTTACCAACAAATAAGAATAACAAAAAACTGAGCTCACTGAGCGAGTACAACATATATATATATATATATTATAGTATATAAGTATATATATATATAATATATTATATATATATATATATAATATATATATATATAATATTTGTAATAATAAAATTCCATAGTCAAGGAATACACTTAAAATTCTAACTGTATGTTCTTTTCATTTTTAATGGCGACGGTCTCTTATTTGAAAGGTACGGTGGAATTAAATCCACGGCCCCAATAGTCAAGTTGTTTTTTTCCCGCCTTTTCTACACGTACAGTTATAGAATGTTCTGGAAATGTTTTAAAGCGAGCTGGAGTGGCTGGACCAGGCTGGACGTCATTTCTTGGGAAGCTCCGCCTTTCCGGAGGCCTATAAAGGGAACTCGCAAAAGGAATATCGGGGGCTTTTCCTTTAATGTCACGATGCAGTAAACTTCATACAAAAAGTTATTAGTAATTCTTTTTTATTTACTCCGGAAATATGATTTTGTAACTGCTATTTCTCCTGACCAATAATAAATGGATCCTGTTTTTTAAACTTATCGTCTGATAATTTAAGCTACGACTACATCTATATTTCTTCACCAATCTATTTATTCTGGCCAAAAGCTGGTACATTACATATATATATATTTATAACAGAGTGGGTATATATATGTATATTAGTTATTGTTTCGCCCTAACATATGTAAAGAGATTTTTTCTCGCAATTTACCCCGATTGTTTCTTCATAAAATATGGTTTTTAGTTTTTGCTAAATATATACAATATTATTAAAGTGAAGGTTTGCTACCATTGGCATGCTGGAGTTTGGAATTATTTAAATAAAAACAGAATATAATCGAATTCATTTTATATTTGTAGCATTACTTGAAATTTCTGTAACCATTCATTTCTTCTTCCGTAGGTACTCTCATCAGAGAACGCAAATTATACCACACTGGCTCAGGTTACTCAGTAGTAACTCCTGATACCTTTCGTCTCCTAGCCATGTCTCCGCCTTTGGAACGCCAAATGTTATTAACCAATGAAGAAGCAATAGTTAGGTTACACGGCATTGCCTATGCCGTAGACGATGGCCGAACTGCGTGCACACAAACTCAGCAACAAGAGATGCTTACAGCTTGGTCTTCTGCTGAAAGGATTTTGGAACCAAGAAAACAAGGTAATGTCACATAGTTACAAGAAGCTGCGAAATGAATACAATGAATTTGTTCGAATAATAATAATTACTTGTTTATAAGAGATTTCAGTTCTGTTTTAAAACACAGTTCAAAATTTACAAAAAATGTAATTACGTTAGACTGTGGAAAGACAATTGTAATATGTTCCCGTCTGGTATTTTACAAAAAAAAAAAAAAATATTGGATTGTTCTATCAAATATACACGTCTTTTAAAACGAACAATTTAAATTCTAATTAGACTTAATCCTTTTACTTTTTTTAAGAAGGATGACCAAGCATATAAAGATCACGAAAGGAAATGGAGGTGGCAAGAGAGAGAAAGGGTAGAAAATTTCGGCTTCAGTTTTATGCTTTCCGACACCTTATTAATTTTAGTGTCTTGTCTTTGTAAAGTTATTTTTTTAATTAACCAGTTATTTATAATTTCATCCTTTACAGTAACCTCTGCTTTCTCTTTCTTTACCAGATTGTAAATGAGTTAGCTAGTATTTAAACTTATATTATTCGAATTTTAAGACAGAGCGTGTTCTTGCTGTGCGTGCACACTACGTTTAGTTGCCGGCAGCTTTGGTATTGCGCTATTCGCTGTCGAAAAATTGATTTTGATAATCAGGTTAGAATTACTTATTCAGCTTGGATTTAAATTGTTCAATCTTTTACTACTATTCCACGGTTTAACTTGAATGTAACTGTTCTTTTAGTTTCATCACAAGGAGCTGTAATTGATTTTATCCGCATGAAGAGTGTGTTTATGTTCTAAAGTCTGATCAAATAAAAAGGTTGTTTAAGCCTTTCCTCCACTTCCAGGAAAGCAAATTATCGCTCGATAACTCGCTTCCGGTTATTGGACTAATTATCAGTTTTATATCAAGTAAAACCTCATATCTTAATAATATCAAAGAATTAAAATTGATTATACTGTAAATTAAAATTTCTTCTACATATTTAATAATGAAAATTTTCGAATCTTCCTCACTTAGCTTGTCGTAAATTGAAATGCATTAATAATATGGTTTAAAAAAATACGAGTAAGAAATAATTTTAAATACCAGTTTCTCATATAACTGAAACACCATTAAAATGCAGCGAATATGCGGTAGATGCGATTTTAAGGTGGAATATTCAAACGAAATGCATGCTGTTTTTTATAAAATGTAAAAGTTTCCTAAGTATTCGTTAAACATAAAATTTTACTTTTTCGCTCTTCAGTAATGTTTATGAACCTCAATTTTTATAAAATCTGGTATAAACTATTTAAAAATTTTCTCTGTATTCCTCAAAATTTTGTTCATTCAAAGAAATTATAAACGTTTCGTATCAAGACTAGTCTGTACCTCCTTGATGTGCATGTGCTTTGCATGTGAAAATTATTAATGATTAAGTTACGAAAACGTGAACTTAAACTTTTCCTGAACTGAAACTTTAAGCTTTTCCCATTAAAATCACTTTATTTTAAAAATCAATGAGGAAAACGTATCTTTCTGTCTATACTGAAACTGATACAGTGAATTTTACATATGTTCATGGAAACTAACATCTGTGTATCACTTCTTAAACTCAGTCATAGCTGTTAGTGTTTAGAAAGTGCTTATTTGAACAGATTACAACTGTTTATAAGTTTTCAACTGTTAAATACTTTGTAATATCCTACCTAAGATAGAGTTCCTAGAAAGCTAGAATACTGAAGATCTATGAATCGACTGTTCGCTGAGTTTTTGTTGCTTAAGTAACAACTCCAAAGAAGGGTTAAAATACCCTTTCATTCTAACTCAAAATAGATGCACAGATGGCCCCTCTTGGGCGTACAAGAGGCCTCCACTTGGACTCTAACTCAAAATAGAAAATATAAAACTAAACTAATGCTAGATAAATTGAATCAGCCGAAGCTGCACAGAATCAAACTCGCTTATTTGGCTCTTAATTAAAGATCACCGAAGTATACTAGCAGATAGACTT